TTCTCACCATTCTGCAGGGTGATTAAATCAAAAAGAGGTGATTGGGGAGGCTGGCTCTGCCGCCTGCCGGAGCCTGCTGAGATGGAGAGGCTTCTGCAAGCCCTTCGCTGGGACGGGCCCCTACATCAGTCTTTCTCTGCAGCTTTGCCTTGCTCAGGACTATGCTACCAAGTTTGGAGGTTTCAAATTCCACAGTAGCTCTGTTGCCCTTTGTTCTGTCCTCTAAACGGAACAATGAAAGGCTCCTTCCCAGTTCTGGTCCATCAAGCTACGGGGAGAATTTTGGTCTGGTGCCTTTGCTTCCTCCCTGTTAGTGTGGTCCGAGAGGAAGACGCTTTTTGAGCTCTTACCTGTGCTAACCTGGACATCGCTCAGTGGTGGACCATGACTCTCAGCCCTCCGTGCTGCTGCAGGTGTGACAGGAGCTCAGTCTCTCCTGTGGAGCCTTGGAGGTCTGCCGAGCCTGAATTATGCACAGCCAGGGCTCTGCTGATTCCAGGTGGGAAAATAACGCTGGGTGTGTCTGCCCTGTCCCTTTCCTTCCCTGGAGGAAGGCTCACTTCTCTCCTCAGCGCTTGTCCAAATCTGTATGGAAAGAGGAATTTCTGGGGAGAACCCCTGTAAGACTGGACACAATATTTTCCCTGAACTGCTTCTGTTCCTTGCGCATGGAGGATGTGCTCCCAAGGTTCCAGATCCCTACCTGCTCCATTGTGACGCTCAGAATGCAAACAGGCAAAAGGCAGGAAAGGAGATGCCACGGCCCCTTCGTGAACATGGAGGGGAGCTGGGAGGGATGGAGAGGCACCCCGCACCCTGAATTCTCTACCTGTCAGTCTCTGTGACTCAGAGTCAATCCGTCATGGGCACCACCAGCAATGACCCCCTGTTGATGAGATTCCTTCCTGTTGGCCAGAAAAGAGAGCCAAAAAACTATGCCCGCCCTGAAGTTTTGCGCCAGACCTTTGAGACTATCTCTGCTCTCCACAAGCTGCTTCCAAATCACATGATGGAGATGCTCTACTCCTACAAGACCGAGGAGGACAAAAGGAAATGTATGTGAGTAGAGGACGCAGAGCTCTTGGCGTGGGAGCGCACGCTTTATCTTGACACAAACTGTCTCTTTTTAGAGGGTTGAGCCTTCACAGGAAGAAGCAGCCCAGGGGTTTTCTTTTTTATTTGGCAACAGGATCTTGATGCATGCCAGGTGGGACTAGAAATTACAATCTCCATTCAGCCTCCCAGAGCTCAGGGATGACAGCCACGTGCCACCACAGCCGGCTCAGAGTGCCTCTCCATGCCACCAGGAGGAGATGGCTCTTGTACACGTGATCAGGTGGTCAGCCTCATGGCCACCCCCTGGGCTCATGGGGCCCTGGTCCCAGAGCTAGGTGGGGATCCCGCCCAGGTACTGACTCAAACCATTCCTGCTCCTGCTCCTTTTGTTTGGTCTTTTACAAGCCAACTGAGGCCACTCTTCTGCTGACGCTAAACCCTTGGAGAGGGACCACGTAGGAATACTACTAAGTTTACTAATTCATCTTTACGTTTGATTGTTAATATTAATGAGAAAACTTTTAGGTAGAAGGTCTAACTTCAAGCTTTATTCCCTTGCCCTACTTCCTATTGCCTTTTTTGCTCTTGCTGCGGTTAGGCCATTCCAGGGAGAAGGTGGTTGTTTCCTGAGAGCATAAGTAACTTGCTATTTTTTATTTTCATTGTTTTTGAGATGGAGGTCTTGTTCTGTTGTGCAGGCTGCCCCTAAACTGCGTGGCCCAGTGATCTTCCTGCCTCGGCCTGCTGACGTGTGCCAGTCTGCCCAGATAGTAATCAGCAATAGTTTGGTAGTTTACTGAGAACAGCTCCCCATCCTTGACCCAGAGCCTGCCTCCAGAACGGTTCATGACTGAACGGAGGACACATATAGATGGAAGCCATGTGTGCCCAGGAACCTAGAAGACAAGAGAGAGGTGCTCCAGTGGTTAGCAAGCACAACTGCCCAACTGCACTGCACGAAGCCTACGCGGCAGAAGGGAGGCCGCCTGCACCTTGTCTGAGCATGGCACTTCCTTCCAGAGCTCCTTTCTAAGTATTTGCACAGCGAGGACCGTAACATAGCTGGGTGGCATTGAACAATGAACTGACCGTGTCACCGATGAGGAGGCCTGGAACTGGAACCACGACACACAGCCCTGCTTCCTCAGAAGCCGCGAAGGCGAACCCTTCGATGCCTCTTCCTAGTTTTCGCTGTTGGCCCCAAGCCCTGGAGCTTCTTGGCCCTTCGGTGCATTGCTTTCATCCCTGAAAAGAGAAAGAGATGAGAAGAGCCAGACACCAGTGCCTCCCTGCTGGGCTGCCTCTAGGGCCCAACGGGGCTCCTGTGGTGCCACCCTGGGACCTTTGGGGGGAACGTTGGAACCATAGCAGTATGCAAGAACATAAAAGACAATCGATTCGATGCACAGCAGTTATGATCAGCTGTCACCAAATACCTGAAGCAGGTTTTTTAAAAAAAGTTTTTTATTTATTTGATGCAAGACATTGCTATGCCGTTCAGACTGTAGTGATCCTCCTACCTTAGCCTCCCCAGCCCTGGGATTACAGGCATGCAAAGGGCATACAGTATACCAGGGATTGAACCTGGGTCTTTGTGCTTGCTAGGCAGACTATTAGACCACCAAATTATCTCCCTGCCCCTGAATTAGATTTATTCAGTTGAATATTAAATTCACCTTTGAAATTCTGACAGACAAAGTGAGCTAGATGCCATGCCCGTTACGGGGGCAGGCCTGCGAGGGCACCCTTTATGCCCTGGTTGCATCATTATGGAACTGACCACATGGTCACGAAGGAAGGAGGTGGTGGCCTTGGCCTGCCAGGGGCCTTGCTGGTTTAGAGACCTGTACTGGTCCATCTGTCACCACATCTCACACCAGTTAGTCAATCTCAGTACTTCGGAGTCTCCGCCCACTGCTCTGCCATGGGAGGGGCCAGCAGGTTCGTCCTGAGGAAACGGGAGGCCAGGCCAAGTCCCCGTGTCACTTCTCTGTGATTCACTGGTAGCTCTGGGACATTTGGCCTCTCTTCTTACAAGAAGTTTAGGGCAGCTGATTTATTTTCTAATATATCCAAGCAGATGGCAGAGCTCCTCAAGGTATAATCAGCAATTTGACTGTTGGTTCTTAAATTACCAGTTGAAGAGCTGTGTCACGCAAAGCGCTGTGCAGTTCGGTTGACTAGATTGCCTTGCCTTGCTTTGCCTTGCCTTCCCTCCTCTCCCCTTCCTCTCCTTTCCTTCTCTTCTTTCGCCTCCCCTCCCCTCCTCTCCCCTCCCCTCCTTTTCCCTTTTCTTCTCTCTCCTTTCTGTTTCCCTCCCTCCCTCTCTCCCTCTTTTTTATTTACTTTTCACAGCACAATTGTCAAGGAAGGAAGTAGGACATTCAACTTCATCTACTACAAGCTCTTTGTCTCACTGCAGATGAGCACTTTGGTTAGAGGCCGGCCAAGGCTAGTGCGGCTCAGAGGATGTGACAGAATTGCACTGACCCTGTCTGGAGACAAAAATAACTGGACATGCGTAACTAAATCTGGCTTATATGCATTAAGCATGGAAATATGGAATCCTACTTTCCCTAGACACAAAAAAATCAATCTTTTCCTCCTCCTCCTCCTCCTCCTCTTCCTCCTCCTCCTCCTCCTCCTCTTCCTCCTCCTCCTCCTTGGATTTCAGTACCCTCACTCCACGTCCTCACAGATGGGTTATTGCCTTCTGGTACTCAGATTCCTGACACAGCCGTCAACTTTGTATGGCTCCTTGCCTGCCTCTCCTGATTCTTGGTGTTGGGTGGAGCATCTTCTCAATTCTTTTTTGTTTGTTTGTTTTTATTTTTATCAGTACACGTTTGTGACACAAGCAATCACATTCTTTGAGGGCAGCTGACACTCTGAAGGTGACTTCCAAGTCCCCTTGTCCTATTGATATAGGGAAGTGAAACTCCCAACCTGACCTGGATGAGTTCGTGTTCTCTAAAACTGAAGAATGAATTTTAGGAACAAACGGAGGTTGAGGGTAAAACTTTGTTGGGAAGGAAAGCTTCTGTTGGAGAGGGACAGAATGGGGGCCCGAGCGGGTTGCCCAGGAAGCTGTCTCTTTCAGGTTATTTTTTATAGGGCAAAACCATGCGGGACTGAGGTAGAGACAAAGGGGTCTCGCTTAGGTGGATGCAGGGTGGGACTAAACGATGGTCAACCAGTGGGATTACAAGCCCCATTGCTCAGTGAACTTGATTAGGCCCAGGACCAAATGGGGTAGCGAGTCACGTAGCAAGCGGGCATGAATGTAAAGGAGGACCTCATCTGGTGGCCTTCAGACAAGGATTCTTCCTGAGTAATGAGCAATCCTGGACGCCAGTCTTTAGGGAGGTTACCATGTATGGTCTTTAGGTCTGGTGTACAGCAGGAGCATCCATCCCTCCCACAGTTGTAAGGTGTCTGGCTTTTGTTATCTCCTTTGAGGGCCTGACCCAGTCTGATTGCCTACAATATTTCTGTCTAACTCAAGCTGCCTGCAAACACTAGGAGGAGCAGTGCCTGCACAGCAGTTCCTTGTGCGCTGGTTCCCAGTTTGTCTGAGCCCGGGGGATCTGATGCTACTTCTCCCAACACACAGGTTCCGTGAAGTGGGTTTATTGATTACAGAAAGCAGTGAGGGATGGCAGTAGCCTAGGGTCCGCTGTGGCTGTTCCCCAATTCTCAATTATTGGGGCTCTTGGAAATAAGACAGTTGCTACTGGAATGGCTGAAAAATGGGCACGCTTATAGCAGATGTGATGGTCGATGGATTCTGCCAACTTGAATAAGAAGCTCAACTAAGCTGGCTGAGCAGAGCTACACCCCAGGTGTCTTCTGGCCTGGAAGGCATAAAGGGCAATGTGGAGGACGGGTCTGCTCCTGTTTCCTCAGAGCACCTCCAGGCTTCACCAGCACGGTGATGTCATCCCCTGCTTTGGGCAGGCGCCTTCCACTGCAGACCTGTTGGCCTCCTGATAGGACCCCCATGGGCACTGCAGGGAGCTCCAGCCCTTGGCCCCCGCTGTGCAGATGCCCCTGCATGCTTCCCCACCCACTCTCTGGGTGGCTATTTTAGACCAATCTTACACATTTTTATTTGTAAATCTTGTATTATATCTGTACCAGAAAGGATTAATAACTCATACTCTCAGATGCTTACAGTTGAATCCTTATGTTGTGGCTGTCACTGAAGCCAGAATGACCAATATACGGGAGCCCCAGGGCAGGAGGCAGGTCAGCGTCCATCCCGCTTCTTCTGAGAAGCTTTAAAATGCACATCTCTGAGTACGCCATGAAAGGGAAAATGAGAATCAGGGCAATTGCACTGTGTCCTCCATCAGCTCGAGAGCCACGTGGTGTTTGTAGCAGTCCAGCCTCTTCCGTGAAGTCACTCATCCGTTCCAGCTAGGTGTCTCACGGCAGACTAAGGCCTGACATGCAGCAATGCCGAGGCCGAGGGATGGCAGCTGGAAAGCAATGGGGGGACAGCGCGGGCGGTCCGCGTCCTACCGTGCTGAGAGGCTCTCCCTGAGCAGAGAGAACAGGAAGCCAGCGTGTCATGCTTATCCTATTGCCAGGTGACAGAGCTGACCTGACTGGCTTGGAAAGGATCTTAGAGAGGCATCAGTTCCCACCAGAGATCAATCTGACCCCGAAGCCAAGTACAACACACTCATGGAAACGAAAAGCCATCAACAATGCAAGGGAAGCGCGGAAGAGATGCCCCCTGTGGAAGGAAAACTCGGAGGAGCCGCCCATGTGCACCGTGCTGGCCAGGTAACCTGTCTAATCTTTGTCCTGCACAGGCAGGCATGTTTAGAAATCCAGAAGTTGGGCTGGGGTGATAGCTTAGTAGAATAAGTGTTTGCCTGACAAGCACAAGGTCCTGAGTTCAATCCCTGATACTGCAAAAAGCAAATAAATAAATAATTAAATAGAAATCCAGAAGTCCAGCTCAGAAGTTCTCTTCATTGCCTCAGCCAGAAAGATGATTAAATGGCCTTTGAGATACACAGTGAGCATGAAAATAAGCCCTGCTCCCATAAAAGCATGTACCCCCGTTTGCACAGCCCCGCAAGCGGCTGGAGGCCTTGCTGGAAGAAAACTCCTGGGGCCAGGAGCAGGGCAGGGCCGGGACCTCACAGCCACCGCATTCTAGGCCTGTGAGCAGATCCCAGGGGGGCTGGAGGCGGAGCCCTGTGGCTGCCTGATTTGGGGAGCTCCAGCACCACTGTTGGCACAGCCACGTTGGCAGGAGAAATGCGGGCTTCACTCTGATGGGGAGACCTTTCTGGTTGGACAGGAACAGGTACAGGGAGAGAGCTCCTGTGTGTGAAGTTTCTCGTGCTGGAGTTGTCCACTGCCTCCCATCCTGGTGAATGAAATGGGTCCCTGTCTATTTTTTTTAATTTTTTTTTTTTTTAATTTTTAGGGAAGGGTCTACAGGGTGTTCTGGGTCTCACTAATAGATCGGACTCATAGTGATCTGCCTGTTTACAGTCTCCCAAGAGCTGGGATTACAGGTGTGGGCCCCCACGCCCAGTCTCAATTGCTGTCTCAATGCACCCCGGGGGCGGGGGGGGGCAGGCCAGCACAGCAGGCCCAGGGATCGAATCCCACACCCCTGCGCCTGCTTGCAGGCACTTTAATCTGCTAAGCTATTTGGCTGGTCCTCCCGTCTTTTTGTCCAGTGTCCTCAAAGGCATATTTTGCCAACTTGAGTCACACATATATAGCCATGGAAGACTGTGTTGTAAATGCAGGTGATCGTTAGAACCATGACGTTTTCTGGACAACAGGAAAACACAAATTTACCAGAGATGGGTAGGCCTTAGTTTAAGTCATGATCTCCTGTTGAGAAAATTTGTCCATGCCCTCTATGGCATATTAAAAAATTGGAAATTTTACCACCACCAAAGGTTGTTTCAGGCTGCAGCGTCTTCATGTGAAACGACCTATCTAACCTTCCACCCTATTTCTTATACACATGTATGCTAATAAAATATAAAAAGCACTCTTCTTTTAAGAAAAATTAAAACAAAATTTCATGGCTAGATCTTGGAAACAGTCTGTATGCTCATCAACAGGTGAATAGGTGAAGAAACTGTGACATTTCTGTACAATGGAGCACTACTCTGCCTTAAGGAAACAAACTGGAGGCACTTGTAGGTAAATGGATGCAACTTGAGAATATGTTAAATGAAATAGACATACAAGCTTAAGTACCTGGTTTCTCTTCTAATATGTGTGTGTGTGTGTGTGTGTGTGTACATATACATATATATGCAATCATATATATATATATAACCATATATATGATATTTAATAGAAAGTAGGTAGAAGTCCAAATAATTCCCCAGTCAGCTATTCATTGTTTCAGAGATAATTTAATATTATGTTAACATGTTTCATTTATACCACTAGTTTCCATTAATTTCTGGAAGAGAAAGTTTTGGCTTTATCTATCTGTTTCTTTCTTCTTTGTAAGAGAAAGGTTTGGTCTATCATTTGTACTCTGAGTAACATTTTAGCCAGTCTTTTAAGATACACAGCGTGTTAGCTGTTGTCATTCTCTATTTTGTTTTGGTTTTTGAAAATGCAGCCAGAGGACCAGAACACAAGGAGTGACGCTCATCTCTCCACATTTCCCCCTGCAAGCATTCCCCTTTGCTCTCCTTAAAGGGCCAGATGGTTTTGTTCATTTCTGTATCACCAGTGCTGTGCAGGTTGGGGTCTCTAAGAAGCCAGTGCTCACCCAAAGGAAAAATGCAAAGTACTTCCTGGGGAGGGGTAACGGCCACGTGGAAGGGGGCAGGTGCTGGAGTCAGGATTCCAGGGAGGAGGAGCTGCCCAGTACCCCACCCCCACCCCCCGCAGCAGACACAGGGAAGGCTGGCGTTGGGTCATTTTGCAAACCCTGTGTCCTGGACACCTTCCTTGTTGCTGTGACTCTAGATTCCAGAAAGATCTGGCTGATGGCCCTCCCTGACACTGATGATTTTTTCCCCTGTCATCAGATAGCATGATAAATCTAGTCGCTTGAGAACTGTGTCATTCTTGATCCTTTGTGACCCAAATGGCACCCTTGAGGACATGTTTTCTGGAGCCAGGGCAAGCCTAGCCATCACTGAGGGATGTTATCAACAAGAGCTTCTAATTCATGACCTTGCACATCTGTAAAATAGACCTCATAATGTCCCTCTTAGGACAGTCGTGGAAAATTGATTGATGAAACTGAGTCTGGACAGGTACAAAGTACTGTAAGCATGCACAGTGTGGTATTTTTAAATAACAGATTGAGCCAACTCCAGGAACTAACTGTGGCTTTGCCCTGGCCGGGGTCTGGGTCGGGAGTGCGGAGTGTCCAGCACAGAGCAGGGAAAGCCTTTCTCTCACATGGTGCCCCGAGGGTTTTCTCTTGCTATCACAGATTGCCTGAGAGTGAATAATTTGCATAAAGCCCAAGATCAGTGGTTGCAGTGCCGGGGCCTCCTGCTGCTGCAGGGTGGCGGAGCTGGGAAGTGCAAACAGGTGCCGGTAGAGAAGTAGAAGAGCATATGGGGCAGCCTCGCCTTATGACAGCACTCTCAAGTCCTCAGTCAGTCCTGCAAGAATGAGAACGCACCCTATCGCATCCGAGAGGCGCAAGTCCACAGTGACCTACCTGTCGCAGTCCCTGAGAGGCAGCTGACATCCCAGGCCTTGAAATATCTTTCTGTGCTCGCTGGTGAACTGACAGCCACATCTTTCTGCAGTTCGCTCTGTCCTCTCTGTAAACTGAATGCTTCTGTCCAGAAAAAGAGGCGCGCATTAGCTCCCCCAGCTCGGCCAGCTTCTATGGCCTTTTTTCTCACTTTTGAGAGTGGGCAGGTAAAAGAATCCAGACAGCTGAAGCTCAGATTCTGACCTCTGCTGGGAGCTGGGTAATTCCCCACCTCTCAGTTACACTGCACTAGGAATTACGCCTCCAACACGTGAACTTTCGGGCACACGTTCACACCACAGGCCAAGACAGCGGCAGTTTAAGGGTCTGACCCCACGGGAAGTCTGCTGAGTTTTGACTCCATTAAGTACATAAATTAGCAAGTCTAAAAGCTAGGAGTCCTGGAGCCCATACCAGTGAGCAGGGATTCTGAGAGTCTAGAGCTACAGAGAGGGCAGGACATTTATCTCAGTTGGCGAACTCAGCAGGGAACCAAACTTGTTTTATGACACTGCAAATCCCTACTGGGTACCGCCTGTACAAGACATCACCTGCAGACTGTACTTACTGGCTCAGTACCGTATTTGTGGGCTCCGGGGCTCAGTTGTTTCCCCTCCTTTGGAAACTGTGATAGAAACCGACAGAGAAGCATGAATATTTCATGCAAAGACTTCATTTCAAATTCTGAAACATTTGTATTAAGTGTATCCGTCAGAGAAATAGATATAATACAGGATACACAAATGTTTAAGAAATTATGAGATCGGCTTCCGGTGGTCAGCCAGAGTTGGATGAAGGACACACTCTGCACACTGGAGACTGAAGGTTTCAGTTCAAGGTCTGGAGCTCTCTGCAGGGTGAATGCAAGACCAGGAGGGGAACTGGTCTACACCGGAAGGATGAAGAGCCTATGCTGGAAGCCGGGAGATGACATCTGTGCTGAAGGCAAAGACTGGTGCTCCTCAGAAGAAACAGAAGCAGAGCCATCCTTCACTTCCCCTCTACATCCAGATGACAGGCTGCCCTAGCGTGGGTCTCCCATACCCCAGGGTGCAGGGCTGCTGAGCTGATGTAGTTGAGCTTCTAAACTTCGCAAACCAACACAATCTGTCAACCATTAAATAAAGTCACATGGTAGCAACTAAAGGTGATAGCTGACTGTCCATGTAGAATCTATCCTGTCTCCTCTCTGCCACAGGCATGTGCATGGAAGCCCGAGTCGGGGCCCCAAGATGCAGTTGTTCCCTCTCTGTACCACCCTTCAACTTCATCCTGTGTCCCGTGTTGTGCTGTGTAAGTGTGTGTTCATTTGCTCCCCCACTCTGAACTCACCACCCAGATGCTGTGCAGTCAAAAAAACATTTAATGTCCCCTACTGCCTGCTAATACAAGGTACCTTAGAAATGTAACTGATTAAATGTGGCCAATGACTCCCATGTCACTTTCCCCTTGCCCTTTTCTTATTTGTTCTACAACCCAGACAGGGCCCATAATCCAGAGTCCTACCACATCTAGGCAGAGATGATAAGGAGAAGCCAATATCTTCTGCAGGACCCACCTAATAGAGCAGAGCGAGGGCCAAAGCCACCCCCAGGATTATAAATCTACCCTGGTTCGCCAGAGCAGATGCTTCAGTCCATCAGTCTCGGCATTTATCTCTAGGCTGGAATGAACATCCCAGACAGACACGCTCTACGCTGGTTTTTTTCACTTGCTCATTCATTCATTTAAACTCTAGATAGAGTTTTCCTATGTTTCCCAGGGTAGTCCTGAACTCTTGGTTTCAAGGGATCCTACTGCCTCAGCCTCCCAGATAGCTGGGTCTAGATGTCCCTGTCACTGCACCCGGATTACACAGTGGTTGATTTTACCTGTCAGCTGGGCTGGGCTATGGAAACCAGTTGTTTTGTCAAACACCAGTCTAGATATTTCTCTGAACATATTTTTTTCAGGTAAAATCAAAATTTACATCTCCATCTTTTTTAATTTTTAGAGAGTACAAATTAGAATTAAAACAGAAAAATTATGTTATACAGAATTTCACTTAAGAAATATGAATTTCACAGTATTTATT